GATCATAGTCTTAAGCTTCTACCAAATAAAGGATCTCTAGTGTCTCAACTTGAATACTCAAGGGCTATTGGTTGTCTGATGTATGTCGTAATTAGCACTAGACCTAATATAGAATATGTTTTAGGAAGGGTTATTAGATATACTAGTAATCCTAGTTCACATCATTGACAAGCTGCGAGTAGAGTATTTAAGTATTTGAAAGGGACCATAAATTATGGTTTAACTTATAGTGGGTATCCTTCTATTCTGGAAGGTTATTCTGATGCCAACTGGATTAACAACTTAGAGGATCACTCATCTACAAGTGGTTGGGTGTTTCTTCTTGGAGGAGGAGCCATTTCTTGGCATCCAAGAAACAGACATGTATTACCAACTCAACCATGGAATCTGAGTTTGTAGCTTTATTTGCTGCTGGTAAAGAAGTTAAGTGGCTAAGGAATTTGGTTTATGAAATTTCATTATGGCCCAAACCGATGTCTACCATTTCTATCAGATGTGATAGTGTTCCAATCTTGGCTAAGGCTTATAGTCAAGTGTATAATGGGAAGTCTAGACATTTAGGTGTTAGATATAGCATGATTCATGAGTTGATCATGACTGGTTTGATATCTGTGGAGTTTGTGAGAAATCAGTTTTATTTGGCTGATCATATAACCAAAAGGTTAGCAAGAGATCTTGTGCACAAGGAGTTGCAGGGATGGGTTTAAAGTCCATTAAAAATATTTTATATTAAGATACCCAATTCCCATCTAGTGTAATATTAAATGCGGAATTCAATGTGGAAAGCTTGCTATTTAACGATTGGAACACATTATTATTATCATCCCAAGGTATGTGTTTAGTACTGCAAGTTAAGGAGGTTGACATTTTATTTCTTAATAGTTTTTTGAAAAATTGCATTTGCAGGTCCAAGAACAAAAGAACTACCTATATAAGCATGAAGTTTAGTTGCTTCAAGAAGTTGGGACTTGACTTTGATATGCTTACTGAAGGATGGGACACAAGCTAGTAAAATATAGTGTCAAGTTAGAAATTATGAGAATAGAAACTATTGCGTATATTATCTTCGTGTATTCACTTGGATGGAAAGGGTTCAATCCTTAGTGATACCCCGAAATTCGAATATTTTGATTGAACAATATACTAATGTGAGATTCAATCGGCACGACATTTCATTTATGCATCAGTTTATTGTTGTTGTTATGTTTTGTTTTAAGTTAATCAAGATTACACTTAAATGCGGGAGGTTTGTTGTTGAATTGTTTCACTAAGTGTATTTCAGTGTAATGGATTGACTTGTTGACCAAATCAATCTTGATGATTATTAAACAAGTAAGAAAGGTGTGGAGTATACACTTGTTTAAATTTATACAAGATTTAAACAAAGGGAAAATTAATTTAGAAATTGAATTGAAATTGGAACAAGATGATTTCGGAATAGAACTAATATTGGAACCGGAATTGATCTCGGAATGTAATTGGCATCGGACCGAAAATGACTTCGGAATTGAATTGATCTCGGAGTGAAATTGGTATCAGATTGAAATTGATTTCGGAACAAAAAACTGATCTCGCACCTGATTGTGATGCGAATGCTATTTAGTAACTGTAACTGATTGCATAGGTTTAATACCTACCTCATGTTTGGTTGGGAGGAATGAAATGGAATTCGAGGGAAAATGATTTGAATTCTCTCGAATTCCATGTTTGGTTCAACTTTAAAGAGGGCAAACAAATCCAAAATGAGAAAACATTCCTTCATAGGAGGGAAAATACATTCCTTCAAAAAAATGGATTGAATTCAATGTTGACAATTACCATTATATCCACAAAACCATTAAGTAAGATTGGTGCATCGTACGATGTCAACTGCAACTGCATCTTCAAAATCATTTCAATTAATCTTCTCGGGTGGTTGCGTTGGCATAAAATATGTATGTCTTAGATGGAACCATACTCAATTCACCATTTGATCCAAGTCAATAGTATCCGTCTATGTAGGGCAGATCTATGTGGAGTTTCGTAATTAGACCCATTTTCTGTATATACATTTGTGCATTCTCATTTTTCTAATATTGATTTGTTTTAGAATTAAAAACGGATATTTGGAACATTGTTGATGTTGCTATAATAGATGATTGCAAAAGTATTTGGTAAATGAGAAAGCACTGATGAAGGTGGCGACCAATTAATCTGTGAGAGTTGAAACCTTAACATCTGGAAAGATTTTACACTTATACTAAATGGTAATTTTATTATGGCTCTAAATATATTCAATATTTCTATTTCGCACAAAAAAAATTCAAATGTAGCTGGCTTTAAAACAAATATGCCTCATTAGATAGTTTTAGGCTTGGCCAACATATGTCTTTTGTGGAGTATCGTAATATCCTTAAATATCGGCTCATGATCCTAATATTTCTAGACGACGAGATATGTATGGTATGCCGCAATGCATGTTTGGACTCTATTGAAGAGCATGCAGTTCACTATAAAGAACTCCTGGGGTTCAAATATAGGCACGATATGGTTAGGGATGTGTTGTTTGACATATTTAAGCGTGTCGAGCTTCCTGCCAAGAAAGAGGCACATGCGGTTTTATTGACTGACCTGCCAAAAGGAATTTCAACCCTTAGACCGACTAACATTTTGATTTTTTGATGGGTTGGAGGGAAACATGCTTGTATGGACCTTACATAGGTATCCCCTCTCATGGGCTTGAGGGATGGGGGTTTCAAGACGGGACATGCTGCTTTAAAAGATGCTACATGCAAAGTCACAAAACATTAGAAATCGTGCATGAAAAATTAACACGTGTTCATACCATTTGCGGTTTCCTTGCGCCAAATGCGGTGGAGCTTCTTAATATAGTACAACGGATCATGCTTAGCAATGTTATATATCTAGATCTATGGATGTAGACTTCAAAAGAATTGGTTTTGCCATACAAAAAGCGTTAACGACACATCTTGTTGCCCGTTTGCTTTCTCGCTCGTTGTACAGTGATAACTAAGTGTTTTTGAAAAATTTACCCATAGTTCTTCCAAAAAAATGTTTTGGATAGTGGAATCTTATTTTGATAGAAATAGTGCTCGATTAAGTTTTATTAATAAAAAAGAATTATATAAATTTTCCAAACCCGATTCCTTTTAGTTTGTCCTTATGGGGCTTATGTTATTGTCTTATTGAACATCAATATATCCTAGTTTAACATGCATAGTAACTGTTTGATTAAATGTCTCACTAAAATTGATTGTTTATGGGATAGAGTTTTCCTAGACATTGTTATATTTTGGGTAAATTACACAGATGGTCCATGTGGTTTCGGGTAATCTACGTGTTTAGTCCCTAACAACTTTTTTTAAATCAAACCATCCCTACTAGAAGTTTTTGTTGCGTCTCTGGTCCATATTATACATAAAAAGACACTTTTACCCTTATAGTTTTGCATTCATATTTATCATAGTTTTTTGTTATTCAGAAAAGATATTTATTAAAAAAGTTCATATAGGTCCTACCACCAAAAATCACTCCTTTTACTCCCCTCTCTTGCATCTGCTAATGATCTAACCTGCATCATCTCCATAATCAGCTCTCACCATTGACTGCCTCATTCCTCCATCTTCACCGACGAGCTGCATATCCATTTTCCCTTTTCCTTTCTCTCATATGACACCCAACGTGACCATCTACCCTTCCTGTTCAATGATTCAACAAGATCACAATCACCACCATCCACATCCTAGCACAGGATCGTATACACTACCAGAATCCGCCACATACACCACCAACAACCACCACATGCACCAAATCAAAATAAAATCAAAGACAAAGCTGAAAATCAAACTTGAAAAAAAAAATAAACATGAAATCAAAGCTCAAAACCAACCTAGAATAAAACGTGAAATCAAAGCGCAAAACCAAACCATAATAACAGTTGAAATCTAGTAACAGGGTCAGGAGGCTGCAACCAAAGTACTGATGAGAAAAATGGAGAGACGTTGGTGAGTTTTTTTTGTAACGAGGGTCCATAACATCTGATTTATATGATATGGGTTTGCAAATGAATTTGAAATCCTGATTCCAAAATCAAATCAAAATCAATCCTAAGGGAACGATCATCGGTCTATGAAACCAAAACCAAAAATCATTTAGGGTTTCTGAAACGACAATCAATTTCTTGATAACATCAATTTCAAAAATCGCTAATGATTGTTTTTGTGGCTGTCCCTCAAACAGGGTGTCTATGAATTGTAATTTTTTTTATTGACTCCTAATCGAGGCTCACTGAAAACAAAAATTAGGTTGTAATCGACCAAGGGGGAGATGCAGATAGCCGTGAAAAGGGAGAGGGATGAAGGGTGGATGGTGGTGGCTGCGTACGAGACCAACAATGGGTAAAAAGCAGAAAAAGGAGGGTTACAGGTTGTTCTTCGATATTGGTGGTATATATCAAAAATGAGAAGGATAAGGGGACTGTGGAGTAAAATCAACAGTCGATAGTCGATGGTGGCTATGGAGGTGATGTAGGTGGAAGAAGAGACGAACTGAAGAAGAAGGGGAAAGAGTTGACGTCGTGCTTAGGCTTTTAGGGCATTCTTGAATAGTTTTTTTTATATATATTAATAATATGGAAATAATAAAAGAATATTATAAAATATTTATTAAGGGAAATATAGTCTTTTTATCTTGGACAGAGACCAATCGTGCAACAAAAATATTGCAACAAAAATATAAAACAGGGATGGACCGAGTTAAAAAAATTGTTAGGGACCAATCAAACAGGTTACCCTTAACCACCCTGATGAAAACCATCCGACCTTCCTCACATAATGTTTGATATTTCAATTTAAGGGTAGTTTATATATGCATACTTTGGTTAATTATCAATTCATTTGTGACTTTGATTTGTTCACATCTTGAACACATATTTTAAGTCGAGAACTGGAGTAGATCGTACGACAAAAAGTGAACAAGCACGCATAAAAAGAAGTACTCACAGCATCCCCGTCGATGATATGATTTGCTGCATTTAAAATGCAGAAATTGCTAGTGGCACAAGCTGTAGATATAGAGTATGTTGGACCCATCCAACCCTAATGTGTAGCAGGAAAATAATCAGTTACAAAGATCACGTGGATTGCTTTCAAGTGTTGTAAATTCAAAGAAGACGACAGATTTGAGCTCACCAGGTCAATGGCTAGCAATGATGATCCAATGTTAGTACTTGCAAAAGGTACGCAGAAAGGATTCATCTTCCTAGGTGAGACCCTCAGTGCTTCTATAGAGTCGCTTACGACCTAAATAAATGGAAACAAACAATAATGAATCTCTCGAAAAAAATGCGATTTTCTATACAGCCTTAATCAAACTAACTAAAAGAACTTGTCGTCAACCATTTCGGTTTCAATTTCGTACATGATTGAAACAACTAATTAATATATAATATACCTTCATACCACCTATACCGGATCCGATCAAAACCCCACATCTACTTTTATCTATCTCCTCCATTCGACCTTCTGTCAACCCACCATCTACCAATGCTTTCTTGCCAGCTGTTAGCATGTAAAGCATAAATTTATCAAGCCTTTTGGAGAGCTTCGGAGCGACCCATTCATCAGTCGAAAAACTTTTGATCTCTCCAGCTATTCGCTGTAGTTGGAACTCATGAGTTATGTCTATGTTAATCAACAACGTAATTAATTATGAGAGATCAAGGTAGAACTAATAATGACATATATACGTACAGTAGGATAGTCTGAACAATCAAATGCCTCTATTTCAGTAACGCCACTGACTCCTTCAAGCAGGTTATTGTAAAATTCATCTGGATTCTGACCAATTGGTGTCTCTACACCCATCCCCGTCACAACAACTCGTCTTCGGTCACTTGGAGTTTTCGCTTTCATGGCGTACTTGACTACAACTGTTTCTTGACATAATTATGTCAAAACATAATTACGGTAGTTCCTTTCTAGTTTTTTAATTATGTCAAAACCTAATTACATGTGTCCTAAGTGGACGAAGAGTTAATTAATTATGCACAAGTTTGAAAATATTACCAGATCTGTGCGGATGGGAGCAAAGACAGCGACGCCTGCAACGGTGGACGGAAACTCTCGTGAACCGGAAAGAACAAGCAGTAGCATGCGCATGGAGAAAGCAAGAAGAAGAAAGAGAAAATCCATTGGAGGTGGATGGAGATATAGAAAAGGAGTTCATATTAGAACTTGCACTAAAGGGTTTGTAACTGAGTCGCGATCTTGATGAGAAAAGGGATGCAGGGCGTTGGTAGTCGTGCTTGAAAACATACGCAGAAGCAGAAGCAGAAACCGCCATGTTAATTTACGAATGAATGAATAGCTAGCGTCTGGATATGTATACAGAAAGTAATGTACGTACGTAAATAAAACTCAAAGATCGATCGATGATAGCTACCAAACTTATTTCACCTAATTAAACAAACAGACTGTGAAATTGATTACAAATTTGGCATACGTACATAAATTAAGTTTGAATAGATGTGTCTTCCATTATCTGTTTACATAGATACGGCTAAGGGGTTCTTGCACGAAGGCAACGTGACTTCACCAAACAAAATAAATATGGAATTCGTATTTAGGTGACGTGAAATGAAAGCAATGAGCAAAAATAACGTTATATAAAGTAAAAAAAAAACAATTAAGGTTACAATTTACAAAGGTTGGGTAGATAGACGAACTTCCGTAAAAAAATATATAATTAATAAAAGACAAAATTACATATATGGTTCGTGTGTTATTAAATGTCATAAACCTAACCCTTGCTAATTTTTTTTGACCAACATAGTTTATGTGGTTTTCAAAACTTGAGTGAATTACCCTTTTTGCTGATGCTGTTACTGTCATAAGTGTGAGGGTATTTTGGTCTTTTCAAGTACCAATGATTGAGTTAGTGACTATGGATAAACCAAAATGACCATTTATGTAATTTTATGTTTATGAGTTTGTAGATTTTTCACCATTTTACTTTTTTAAAATATCAATTTGACTCTACATTTTAAAATTTGAAAAATGTTACTTTCATCCTTTTTTTTCTAATTTTTTGTATTTATCTACCGTATTATATTTAATATGATTTTTCTTGATAACTTTCATTCGTTAATCTAAAAAAACTAATTTTTACGTGTTTCTTTTTTATATGTCTGTCGGTATAAATTTTAGGTGATCAACGTTTCAACGTAAATTTCAAAACTTTATTACGATAAATTTTTTTTAAATACTTGTTTTTTATGCATCGATAAATTCAAATTTTCTTATGTTTCGACTTAGTTTTTTTTTTAATTATTATTTTTTTATTTTTATATTTTCGTGTTTAATTTTATATACGTTTCCTACGTATGAGTCATATCAGATATAATAACTTTCGCTCGTTAATTAAAAAAATGTATTATATTCGGGTTTGTGTACATTTCAATGTATTTATTTTTCCGTTTTCTTGCTTAATTTTATGTACGTTTGTTACAGATAAGTCGGACCACATATAATAACTTTTGTTCGATAACTTAAATGTATTATATTCGAGTTTGTCTACATTTCGACATAACTTTTTTTACGTTGTTTTTACGTATTGGTATAGATTCGAGTTTGTCTACATTTCAACATATTTTTTTTTATGTTTTCGTGCCTATTTTATGTACGTGTTTTCGTTCGTGTTTTTTACGTCAAAACGTAACTTTTTATCAATACAATCCTCAAAATTCAACGTACAAAATTCAATGCTTATAATTATGCTTTTATCTATTGTATTGATAAAAGTATAATTTTAACGAACGAAAGCTCAAATAATCAAAAACGTATTGCATGTGACCTGAGTCATACGTATGAAACATACATAAAATTAAGCACGAAAACGTTCAAAAAATACGTCTAAACGTAGACAAGCTCGAAGATAATATGTTTTTTAAGTTAACAAATTAAAGTTCTTATATGTGACCCGAATGATACGTAGGAATGTACACAAAATTAAACAAAAAAAATGTGAAAAAATTACATCGAAACATAGACAAACTCAAAAATAATTCGTTTATTAAAATTAACAAGAAAAAATTATTATATGTGATATGTCTTATACATAGGAAACACACATAAAGTTAAACACAATAACGTTAAAAAAAACTACGTCGAAACGTAGACAAATTCAAACTTAAACCAGCAAGTGTATAAAAAAACCAATTATATATTTTTAAAAAGAGTAACGAAAAAAAGTTCTAAATTATTGTCAAAACGTTGATCATCGGAATTATACCGAAAAATTTATAGAAATAAATACATAAAAATAGTTGTTTAGGTTAACAAACGCAAGTTATTAATGAAAATCAAATTATATATATAATACGGGGTTAAACATGAAAATTTAGAAAATATAGCAGTGAAAGTAACATTTTACAAAGTTTAAAGTGAAGGGTTCAATGTGATATTTTAAAAAGTAAAGGGGTAGAAAAGACAAAAACTCATAAAAATAAAATATAGACAAAATTACATAAATGGTCCCTATGGTTTACCCTTAGTCACAGTCTCAGTCTCTGCTACTTGAAAAGACCAAAATACCCTCACACTAGCAGATGAATAATAACGACGTCAGCAAAAGGGACCATTCATGCAAGTTTTGGAAACAAAATGGACCATGTTCATCAAAAAAATTAGCAAAGACTGAGTTTGTGACCTTTGGTAAACTATAGGGACCATTTGTGTAAATTTGTCAATATGTTTTTGTTTGTTGCTAAACTGGTTGCCGGGCAGATATTTCCAAGATTTTGGAAATGTGTTATAGTTATGTGTATTTGATTGCGTATTGAGTTTTGTTGATAGGAAAAATTAGGATTGCTTCTTTACATGTGGAAGATTATCTCTGATACAAAATATCGATTAACTAGACTGTTTGCAACTGGACAGACCAAATATCAAGTATAAGGCCAACTGATGTCACACCCCCGAACCAGGACGGCGGAAACGTCTGGGGGCGGATGGCGTCATTGTATAGTATCATTACAATTGAATATGAATGAAACATAGCAACCAACATCATACATTAAGAGATACCAACATACATTGTTTACAAATTGTATTTGTTCATCAATTACACAAAAGTGACATAAAGTATGAAATCCCAAAATGCCGCAATCCGGTTCTTAGGTACCTTCTTACTGGTTCCCTGAGAATACAAGTCATTTTGAAAATCGTCAACATTGAATGTTGGTGAGTTCATAAGCATATTTGTATGAAAAGTGTTTGTAACATCCTTGTTTGTAATAGTTTGTATACCTACATAAAATCCGATATTTTCTATGAAAATGGTTTGTAAGTCTCGTTCCAAAACTGTGAATATATGCATGCATGTCCTTTGTTTTCTTATGTTTGTAATTGTAAAGAGTATGTTCCCAGAAAATCCAATATTTTCTTATAAGTAAACGGTAGTCTTAACCCCAAGACCAGAAGTGTAAGTGACTGTGTACTGAAAAATGATATGCAGTTTTACATTTTTAATAAAACCGGTGAAGTGTAAGCTTCCCGTAAATCAAAATAGTATTGTTAACCCCTAAGTGAGTTCTTATAACCATGTTTGATATGACTGTTATGCCTGAACGACGTTCTTCAGGCGTCGGAATTGGTAGACTTTTATCACCCTAGACTTGTCGGTCTAACTGTAGCGAACAACTGAGGTGTAGGGTTGTCAATCCCGTATAGATCTATACACAACGGTATCGCTCTCCCTCCAGGAGACTCTGGTTATAAAGCAGGACTTAAAGTGTATGCTAGGTAGGTACGGTGAGGACGGTTCTCAGTAGAGCCTTAACGTATTTACGCAAACTTTAAGTTCCATTATTGAATAATGAAAATGATATTACTTGTGTATATTTATGACTGGAGTTTTATGACACGCGTTTTACAGCTTTCATGACATACAGCTCATTAATCATGCTATAAAGGCTTTATGACACCTAAATTATGACACGCAAAGTTTTCTGTCATAACTTCTGTTTTGTATATCATTTTGGTTGAATTATTTATAGCACTTTTTATAAATAATTGTTAATGGTTATGTCTATTGGAAATATATGTTGTGAAAATAGCATAATACCTTAGATTTTAAGCCATCAAAATAGTGATAACATAGTTACGAATATTTTACTAATAAAAATTATTTTTAGCAAAATAATCAAGTTTTGTAACTTGTTTAACACACCATATCTAGTT